AGAAGCACCATAGAGATATGAGGTAATAGTATTTGTAGAGTATTCTCAACTCTCATTTTCACTTATGTAATCTCTTGTAAATACGACCTCTTTTTTTGTAGGTTATCATTACTAAAACCAGTGGAGTAAATGAGTATGGAAACTCACATTAGATCAGCAACAAATTGAGAAATAGGAGCCAGAGTAGGGGACTGCTTATACTTCCCATAATTCTTCTGATAGTTGACTGTCATAGAATTGCAATGTTAATATTTATGCTTATTAAATATTCCTAAATAATACTCAGAATCTATTGTTAGGATTTTCAATTCCAGAGAATCCAATCAAAGATGTATAAAAAGCCTCAGGACAACAGTACCATTTTTATCTCTTTGTTTTTGAGGGTTATCAATAAAACAGTTCAACAATAATCAAGTTGTAGTCATCTCTATATACATATATATGTAACTCCCCAAATCTGAGCTTTCCAACATGGTGCCACCAATTACATGTGGCTGTTGAGTACTTGAAATTTGGCTGAACTGTTTTGTGAAAAAAAAAAAAGTTTTAAAATTTTGTACACAATTTATTACATGTTGTAATGACATTTTAATGTATAAGCTATAATTATATATATATATATCCTATCTAATGCTAAATAAAATTAATTTGGTCTGTTTATTTTTACTTCTTTTAAAGTTGTTGATAGTTTTAAAGTACATATATGGTTGGGGCCAGTGTTGTGCTATAGCGGGTAAAGCCTCTGCCTTCGATGCCTAAATCCTGAATGAGCTCCTGTTTGGTCCCAGCTGCAACACTTCTGATCCAGCCTCCCGCTAATGTGCCTGGGAAAGCAGCAGAGGATGGCCTAAGTACTTTGGCCCCTGCTACCCATGTGGGAGACCAGGATGGAGTTCCTGGCTCCTAGCTTCGGCCTGGCCCAGCCCTGGCTGTTGTGGCCACTGGGGGAGTGAACCAGAAGACAGATGATATTCTCCCTCTCTCTCTCTCTCTCTCCCTCTCTCTCTCTCTGTCACTCTGCCTTTCAAATAAGTAAAATAAATATATTAAATATATTGGTTTGTAAGTTATATTTCTAATGGACACCGGAGTGCTGAATAAAAAGATGGAGATTTTTACAATACAATTACAGAGAGGGTATTGGGATTAGAGTTAAGCTTACTTAATACGTTTTGGACAAATTACCGGACTTTGTCAAAGGTTAGAACCTATCTTTAATCTTTATAATCAATTTGGTTCTTTTTTAAAAAGTATTTATTTATTTGAGAAGTAGAGTCACAGACAGTGAGAGGGAGAAACAGAGAGAGGGGTCTTCCTTCCATTGGTTCACTCCCCAAATGGCTGTTAATGACTGGAGCTGCGCCGATCCGAAGCCAGGAGCCAGTTGCCTCCTCCTAGTCTCCCATGAGGGTGCAGGGGCCCAAGCACTTGGGCCATCCTCCACTGTTTTCCCAGGCCACAGCAGAGAGCTGGATTGGAAGAGGAGCAGCCGGGACTAGATCCGGCACCCATATGGGATGCTGGCACCACAGGTGGAGGATTAACCTACTGCGCCATGGCGCCAGCCCCAATCAATTTGGTTCTATAATGGTCATACAAGATATTTGGCCTCTACGATTTCATGAAATACTTGCTCAGTTTCCTCTGAGTTGTAGTAACAGGCGGGGCTGTGAAGTATTGAGGCAGAGTAATGACCTCAGCAGAACTCCCACAGAACATTCCCAGACACCCCAAGGCAAAACTCTATTATATAGAGTTTTTGAATAAAATACTGCTATAGACTAAATTGTATTCCCTCAAAATTCATATGTTGAAGGCCTAATCTCCAGAATGACTGTATTTGGAGATGACCATTTTAGGAGGTCATTAGGGTTAAAAGAGGTCACAAGGGTGGGTCCCTAACCCAACACGATGGGTGGTTTTATGAGGCAGAGGGAAATCTCTGTCTTCCCACTAAGTGAGGACACAGAGAGAAGGTGGCAGTCTACAAGTTAGGTAATGAGCCCTCACCAGAAACTGACTCTACCGGACCTTCATCTGGGACTTCCAGTCTCTGGGTCAGTGAGAAATAAGTTTCTGCTCTTTAAACCATCCCATCAATGGTATTTTGGTTAAGGCAGACTAACACTACCACTTAAAACAATCTCATTTTACATTAAATGTTATAATTAATATTACTTAATACTAATCATGGATACACACATACATTATATATATATATTTTGTTAGACGAAGGGATGGTGACTTGCAGAAAGTGGAAAGTAGGTAAATATTTGTTGATTTTTTATAAAAGTTAATAGGGGGGCCGGTACTGTGGCATAGTGAGTAAAGCTGCCGCCTCAGTGCCGGTATCCCATATAGGTGCTGGTTCAAATCCCGGCTGCTCCACTTCCCATCCAGCTCTCTGCTACAGCCTGGAAAAGCAGTGGAAGGTGGCCCAAGTCCTTGGGCTCTTGCTCCAGCGTGGGAGATGCAGAAGATGCTCCTGGCTCCAGGCTTCAGATCGGTTCAGCTCCAGCCATTGTGGCCAGCTGGGGAGTGAACCAGCGATGGAAGACCTCTCTCGCTGCCTCTCCTTCTCCCTCTGTATAACTCTTTCAAATAAATAAATAAATCTTTGTAAAAATAATAAATAAAAATAAAAATGTTAATAGGATAGGCCTGGCCCATGTCCTCTGTAGATCACAGATCATCTCTGGAGAGCCAGGTAAAAAAGGTCCAGGGAAAAATATTATTCTTAAAGCATTTTCACTTCAAAATATCTTATTCTCAACCATCACATATTTTCGTAAGGAAATGGAATTCATATTCCTACTTGAAGTGAAAAATGTTAAGTTGTTAATATCTTCCCTAGGGATTTGCTTCTTGGGATGACAAGTTCAATGATTTCATCATAGTTTAAGCATAATATCATCTCATTTTATGCTCCAAGATATGAACAATCTTCAGCGTTTCTCAGTATAGTACTCAGCCTTATGACTTTTGGAATAACAGTTTAAAAGGCATGACAAAAAGGAAAAACTCTCTCTCTCTCTCTCTGAGGAACAAAATAGTGTGCTTTCTTTTAAAGCATCCAAAACATTTTTGGGGTTTTATGCCCGATTTTAAAGAGAGGGGGGGAGAGGAAGAGAACCAATCTGGGTAGTTTCTTTCATCACTGTTGTTACTTTGATCCCTTCTACCATCTCTTAGAGCTCCAGAGGGTCCAAGAACTCCAAGAAGACGACACCAAATTTTGCTTGCCTCATACATTTTTACTGGGACAAGGGCCCTGAGCTTTGCACATACTCCCAAAGGAGACAGCTACCATGAAAGTTAACAACCTCCAGTGGAAGGTTTCTCATCCTTGATCCAAGGTTCTTGGCCTCATCTCTGGGCCAGGCCAGCTCTGATCAGCCTCCCCACACCCTCCCAGAATGTGCACCCATCCCTGCCCCCACTCCTGAGTTTGTTGGTTCCCCTGGTTTTCCGTTTTGTTTCCTGCCCTATGTTTTTGTGAGTCGTCTCTGGCTTCCCACTTGCTTGACAGCCATCTGTATGTCCCTGTTAGCTGGTGGCTCTCTCCTCACTCGGTGGGGGCTCACTGTGGAACTCACCGCATTTATCAACCCACCTTTCCCCCCCATTCCTATCTTCGTTTTTGGGGCCACCTGAAGTTGCCACAGTGCTGGATGGGCAGCCCATCTCTCTACCCTCCTGCGGGGATGACCCATCCAAGAACACGTTCCTGTTCTGCCATTCCCAGGTGGAACCAAGTCCCTTCCCATTCGTGCCCTAAAGGTATTGTGAGAAGGAAATGGTGCCGTAGCTAGCTCTTGGCTCTCCAAGGAGGAATAACAGCTTTCTGGTTTTGTCCTTTATTCTAGCATGAACACGTCAAGTGGCAGCGGCCCCTGCACCTGCGTTGACCCTGGTTTCCCTGAGCCTTCAGAGCCATGGAGCATCCCTCATCCTCTCCCACACTCTCCAAAACCCACATTCCAAGTGCTTTCCTGGAGTATAACTCGGGCTCCTCCGTCAGTCTCTCAGATCGGGATAAAGAATTGAAGCTCACTCTTTTTTATACTCTTCTCACCAATAAATTCTAAATCCTCTTTAAGTTTTCTCGTAGAGCAATGATGGGTTAGTCCGACCCCCCCCCCCAAAAAAAAAAAAAAAAAAAAACTTGCGTAAAATCAGTGAATCTTGCCCACGCACTGATGTTTCGGATCTGGGCTGGCCAAGGAGGGTCCACGACCCCTAGGATTATTTATAACAAGAGGCTCACTCCCAGGGAGCAGCCAAGGGTGACCGGAAAGGGGGTTCTGAGAGCTGAGGCCCCGGCAGCAGCCCCGGCGTCCCCGGGGGCAGGCCCGGCCCGGGCCCCGGCCCAGGGCGCTGTCCACCCGGCCTCTCCCGCCTACTCCTGGAGCCCGCCGCGGCCCAGGCCCGGTGGCGGCGGCGGCAGCGGCGGCGGCCCCCAGGGATGGCGGCGGCCGGGCTCCGCCAGCAGGTGGCCCCGGGGTCCCGGCGGCACCGCCCCCTCCGCCGGTGCCCCTCCTCCCGCGGGGGCGGTCAGCGCCCCGGCCGGCTCCGCACCCGCCGCCGCCGCCGCCGCCTCCCTCCCCTCGGCCCGCCCGCGTCCCCGGGGCCGCCGCCGCCGCCGCCGCGTCCGCAAGCTGAGCCCAGGCGGGCCGCGACGAGCGCCCAGGGCGCCGGCAGCTCCGAGCCCTCGCCGCCGCCGCCGCCGCCGCGCCCTCCCCGCCGCCGCCGCCGCCCGGCCCGCTCCCCACGGAAAGTTGCGCTGCGGCGAGCGGCGGCTTGGAAACAGCGAGCCGGCATGAGAGAGGGTCGGGGGGGCGCCTAGGGCACCGGGAGGCGGCGCCGCGCGGGGGCAACTTCTCCCCGGAGCCCACGCCGCCGGCCCCGCGCCTGCAGCCCCTGAGCGGGCTCGCGGTGGTTCCTGCCGTCCCTCGGCCTCCCCCTCCCACCCCACCCCCCCTCCGATTCGAGACGCGGACCTTGGTCCCGGCGGCTCCGCGGCGGTGACACGAGCCCGCGCCGCCGCCGCCGCCGCCGCCGCCGATCCGCCGCCTCAGCCTCCGCCGGCCGCAGTCGCCGCCGCCGCCGCCGCCGCCGCCTTCCCCGCACCATGGAGTTCTCTGAGAGGAAAAGAAGCAGGAAATCCCAGAGCTTCAAACTGGTGAGCCGAGGTAAGCGGTCGGCCAGGGCGGCGGGAGGAAGGACCGGGCGCCGCGCGCTCGGCCCCGCGCCCCCGGCCGCCCGCGGGGGGTCCACGCCGGGGGGCGCGCCCCTCCCGGAGCCCCGGTTCCCTCCCGAGCCGGGCGGCCCCGGGCCCGCGGCCGCACACCCGCACACGCCGGGCGCCGGGGAAAGTTGTGCCGGGGGAGGCAGGATGTTATTGAACGTAAACAAGTCGGAGGGCACGTCAGGAAATTAGCAAACAATGACTCCTGGGGGCCCGAGCCCTCTTTTGGGGTGTCCTCGGCGCTGGGCCGGGGTAGTGGAGGGTTGCCTGGCCCATCAGGCCGAGAGTGGACGGTCGGACCCATGGTTTGTTGTTTTTGTTTTTGCATTTTCGCCCAAAGGGAACGGGGAAAGATGACCGTTGTTCTTGTAAGCTCGGTGGAGGTCCAAGCCCGAAGCAGAATCATTGCCACCCAGTATCTTTCCTAGCTAGCTGGTTTGGCGTGGAAAGGTGTTTCAGACAAGATCACACAGCAGTCAGCCAAGTATCATTGAAAACAACAGCAAAACAAAACCAGCTAGTTCCCGACCATTTAACAGGTGTACAGTACACTCTTGGGGCGTTTATTTCCATCGAGGGAGGGGGAGCTTGGATACAGCCTTGTGCACCGTTCAGTTACTTGTTAGAGTCTGTATCTTCCTGGCTGGACTTTTAAAAAATTGATCAGAACCAAAGATAAGAGCAGTCGTGACAATATGCCTGTCAGAAGCTATTGTGGCACCTTAAATTCTAGGCAGGTGCCTTTTTTTCCTTGTAATGCCATGGGTCCTGATATTTACCAAGTTTAGACCCACCCTGTTTAAATATCTTTGAATCAACTTGAGGTCAAAGCCAAACCACAGAGCCAGTCCACTTTTCCTCTGTTGTATCTAGCATTGGCATCAGAGGCCAGAGCAACACGATTGTTCCAGCAACCTGCAGAAGTCACATGTAAACCGCTGAAAATTAGAAGGCAATTGCAAGTAATTGAGTTTTTCAGACAAAGCTGCTGTGATGTGGATTCAGTAAAGCCCACTTTTGATTAGTCTGGAAAAACAGTTTAATTATAGACGTTTTGAGGATCTACCCATAGCTGTTTCCCCTAATTTAGTTTGGATACTGTTTAATGAAAGAGGCCTGAAATAGTTTACGAATTGAAAATATTTGGCCCTCCCCCTCTTTCCTTTGTAATTTTTTTTTTGGTCCACAGCAGTGTTGATTACTCAGTTATTTGTACTTTAAAACTCTCCCTGTGTAACTGCGCTGTTGGTGCTATCTGATTCATTCAGGAATGCAGGCTGCTTTTATGGATGACCTCAGGGAACTTACTACTTTATCTTACAAGTGAGAGTAGTTTTGTCCACGTTGTCCTGTGAGATCCAAGGCCAGAAAAACGGAAGAGCTGTTAACCAGGAGCCTCTATTTTCATATCCAGGCGTCCTCCTTGAGAAATGAGAAGGTTGCCAAAGCGAAGAAGCCTCCGTAGAGAAGCTTTTAAAACAGTGTTTTGTAAACTTTGGCTAACACAGCAAGTTTTTCCTTCTCCTTTTCTTTTTCTTCCTTTCTTTTTTTTTTTTTTTATATGAGTTTGATTCTTCTCTGTCCTCTGCAGGTGCATTTTTAGAAAATAAACCATTGCCTATTAAATAAAGTGCAGTGGCTGAATAACAAAATTCACTTGAGTGAAAGATGAAAATCTTGCTTTCTCATCCAAATTACACTGAATTTAAAATAACAAATCAGTGTTTCACGTGTGCTTGTCTGTATGCTGCTTAAAGGCTGAGACTTTCTGGGTAACCTGTGAGTGCTAGGTCACTCCGAGGCATACCGCTGTCAGGTTCACGAGAGCGGGTTACGTGGAGATAAATTTGGAGTCTCACCCCAGCCCATCATTTGGCATGATTTTTCTTTTCCCTGTAAACGTACTTCCTATCTCAAAGAAATGAAACCTAATAATTGATATCTGTGGGCAAAATTCACCATGAAAAAAAAAAAGTGATGAAGCAAAGCTGTTTTCTAAAGTCAGACTGATACTTCAAGACTGTATGCATCAGAGTATAGGCAAAGTTTTAGGGGTTACTATTAACTACAAATTCTATGAATAACTGAATTCTCAAAAATGTGTATAGGTTACACATACTGTATAGAATGAAATTCTAGTCTTTAGTGCTTGATCTTACCTTGAGGTCATTAGAATTCTAATTTTTCCTCATTTTCTCATACCAGATTATCACCATGAGGTTTATAAAGTCTCAGAATTCAGCAGCGATGTTAACGGGGAGGCCAAAGAGACGCAACCCATTTTTTTAGGTAGGTTCCTATGTCAATTAATTTCTCAGCAAAACGGTGTGGCCATTTGCAATTAGGAAAAGAAGAAGGAAAAAAAAAAAGATTGTGCAAGAACGGGAAATGTCTGCCATTGCTTAATGTATGACATTCTTTCCAAGACCTTTTATTTTACAGATTGCCAATAGATCCCTTATTAACATTGCTAAAAGTTGTAATTTCAGACATAAATGTTTATTAGTGTCTACACACAGTGCTAATTATCACTCACTCACAGAGCCAGATGCTGACTGTGCAGTTTTGTCGCTCTGTGCTCACCCCATTTACATTGCATATTCGCTGGCATGCTTCACTGGCAATAGTTTGTGTAATTGGGGTATTACATCTTTGACATCTGGATAACAGAAATTCAATTTCCAGGAAGCTGCTATTTGTTTGGTTTTGCTTCTGCCTTGGGTGGGATAGAGGATTAATGTGCTGTCTTATTATAATGTCCCTTCACCTCTGTGGCCTGGTTGCTAATCCTGCCATGACAAAATTAAATTAAATCTACAGTCAAAAAGCGTAAGGAAAATAAAAGTGTGATTGCCTAACCACCTCTTGATAGTGCTAGTTAGCGTGGCGCAGCTCCTTGTCTTCCTGCCTTTGTGTCCCCCTCACACCAGCATTTTTGATCAAGGGAATAGCCCCACGTTTCTCTTGCTATCCTCGTTCCTAGCTCCCCTCAGGAACGAGCAGTGCACAAGTGGCATCTCCAAGACCCCCCAACAAGTGTAGCTGCGCCATGGACGTGTAGGTAGCCAAAACGCTGCCATTCTTTCCAGGTGGAGTCTCAGTACAAACATTTTAGCACAGAGGACTTCAGATGTGCGGTTTGTTATTTGCAGACCATGAACCAAAAAGGAAACCATTTAGGATTTTGCCTCTAAGAATAAAGCACCCGTAAAATCAGAGTAGAGGGTTAATGGTGGCATTTGGCTTCAACCTTGCCCACGCTGCACGCCACAGCACCAGGCAGTAGGCTGAGAGCCAGGTGCTGCACAACAGGAGTGTGCAACATGAGAGAAAGGGCCAAGGTTGCCCCATCACTGGGCGTCCAGGTAGCAGGATTGCTGCTTAGACCCTGTGCATCGTCCTCCAGAGAAAAACATGGCGAGTGCTGGAGGATATGCCATGCTCTCAGCAGCATCTGTTGTGCTTCGAAGGAGGAACAGGGCGGGTTGCAGAGGACTAGGAAGAAGTTCAGTAGATAGTCCACGAGATACAATAGCAGGGAAGTTTCAGCACTGCTCACGAAAACATCGGTGAGAGCACGTGGGTCTTCCCACTGCTGGGGGAGAACATTACTGAGGCCAGCGCCGCTTCCCAGCACCTGTTTACTGTGAAGAGCACCAAAATCCAAAAAGTTAATAATCAAGTGAAAAGCTGTGACCCAGAAAGAGAACAGTCTTGGATCCTACTCTTTTTAGTTCCCTGAACTTGGTCAGTTGGAATTCTGTATTTAAGTACCACTTGATTTAAGCCATTCGAAATAAAGAATCTGCCTTCTAGTAGAAAATTTACATTTATCACACACATGGAACATCGTGTCCTTGATTTAGTTCTGCCAAGTGGCTCCCTTTTCCCTTTTTGCCTTGTGGAAAGTAGTACAGATGCTGTAGAACAAGTGAGTTGTGAGGATGAAAGGAGACTTAAGACCAGGAGGGTGGGAGTACTCAGCGGTCAGTAAGATGTAAACTCTTGAAGGTAGCAAACACTGCTGCTTTCCTATTCCTTCAGCCAAGTAGAGGGAGATACAAGAATACCAACTAAAGGTGGGATAGGCTTTCAAAGTGCTTGGTTAAGTAAGCCTCCAGCTTCAAGAGACAGAAAATTGAATCGCTGGAAGGTGTGCTGTGGGTTATTTCTCAATCTTTGGCTCATTCTGGATGAAGTCTGATATGGTCCCCAAAGAACGCTTTTTCTTTTGTGATCCACCAGGTCGATTTAAGAAAAATAGTGAGAATAATTTTTGACAGCATCTGAAAATAAGAATTTTGTTGTTACCAATGTTACAGTTTATAGTTAACTCTTCTCAAAACATAGATTTAAATCATGTTTATTTTGTAAATTGCTAAAGCCTATTCATAATTTTACTTACTGTGGTGTAGAATCCTCTGAGAAGCTCTTTTTTTTTTTTTTTTTTTTTAATATTTATTTGAGGTAGAGTTACAGACAGAGGGAGAGGCAGAAAGGTCTTCCATCTGCTGTTTCACTCCCCAAATGGCTACAACAGCCGGGGCTAAGCCAGTCTGAAGCCAGGAGCTTCTTCTGGGTGTCCCATACAGGTGCATGGCCCAAGTGCCTGGGCCGTCTTCCACTGCTTTTCCAGGCCATAGCAGAGAGCTGGATCAGAACAGGAGTGTCCAGGACACGGACTGGCGCCTATATGGGATGCTGGTGCCGCAGGCAGCAGCTTAGCCTCCTGAGCCACAGTGCTGGCTCCTCTGAGAAGCTCTTTGAATACCTTAACTGTCTCTTCTCTAATGAAGTAGTGCTACACATGCCCCCCAGTATGTTACATAGGCTTTTTTGCCTTCAGATGTGTTATCTTTGATACCATCCACATCTATAAGATTAAAGT